TGCGTGGCGGTCTTCTTCGAATTCTCGCTCAAGTTCGTCTAACCCGGTCGACCTCGAGACGTTCCAGCTGCGTTTTGATGTCGGCGTTTACTGAGTCGGCGGGGGGTGGGATGGGTTGCGCCTGTTGGGCTCTAGGGCGACCTCTGGCCATGCGTCGCCGACTTGCTAGGTCCAAATGGGACAAGGGCCCCCCTCGGGATTGACGAGCTCCTGACGACCTCCGAGTGGCAAACTGGGCCGAACTGGCGTCCCAGGGGCCTCGGGAGCCCTCGGGATTGTCGACATTCTGACGACCTCGGGTTTTGCTGGGAGAAACCTGAGAAGTAAATCTCAGCGGACAAAATCGCCACGTCGGGCCGTGACTGCCACCACGCGGCCCAATAAGGAGGAGCCAGACCGACCCCAACGTGTTCAGGGTTGCCACAACGTGGGCATCGTGGCCACGCGTCGCTCCAGCGGAGGTTCACATGCGCGGGAAGTCGACAATCCCTCCAAAAGTGTCGGTGTGCGATCCACGCGGCGCAAATCGGACCGTCCAAAATGTAACTGTCCTGTGGCATCGCACCTTGCAAGCGATGTCGATATCGACCAAGTCATCCAACGGCCCACAACCAAGCCACGCGGCCCATTCCCAACACTGTCCAGGTTCAATGAACCTAACCACACAACCAAGCGCGCCAGGTGGAAGTCGGCGGCGATCACGAGGCGCCACGCTGGGCCTCAATAATCCAGGGCCCCTGGGAGATTGAAGTCAGCATGCCCTAATTTCCGCACTGAGGCGCCAATGTCGGTCCCAAGCCACGTAACACACGCCCATTCGACAGTGGAATGGCCCAGGTTTGCGCCTCTTGGGTGCAGCACGGCGTCCCATTAGCCATGCTTGGCACGTGGCACGTCGGACAGTGCGCCGCCACACGAGTTCGCATGCATGGTGGCAGAAGCATAGGGGTTTGCGTGAACCGCGGCAGCATCGTAGTCGCTCAGGACCATACCCGTCCGAGACCGTGCACCGGTGCTCATTCCCTTGTCCGTTCCTGCGTTTCTTCCTGCTCTCTCGTGCACTTAGAATTTTCAGCTGCCTATTTGTCATCGTGCCTGTATGATACTCGGTTGCCAACTACTCGATCAAGTCGGCACTAGTTGCTTCTACCTGGCACCCACCAAAAACGTCGGCGGTGATCAGTACTCGTCGACGTCGACGTCAGGTGTTGTAGGGCAACATCGGTGCAAACTATCAACGTCCCGGCCGACCTAGCAAGTCGGCGACGCATGGCCAGAGGTCGCCCTAGAGCCCAACAGCCGCAACCCATCCCATCCCCCGCCGACTCAGTAGACGACGACATCAAAGCGGAGCTGGAACGTCTTGAGGTCGAAGCCAAGTTAGACGAACTTGAGCAAGAATTCGAAGAAGACCGCCACGCAACTCTTCGGGCGTACAATGCACCCGTGACTCAGTTCCGTCTCTGGTTTACCAACCTCCGCATTGCACACGGACGAAGGTAGAGCAACATACTTTCTGCCACATGGCCGACGTCGACATGTCCGACGCTAGTCCCCCCACCGACCACAATCCTACATCTACCGATGAAGAGACGCTCCCGTTACTCTACGATCTTGATCGGGGCGGATCTGATCGGGTTGCTTGTGATCACATTGCCCGAGCCGCCCGATCAGCATAATTTTTCGTAGAGCATTCGCGTTGGCTGCACAGCAAGCGGTGTCCAATTACCAGGCATTTTTTGCCCAATTTTAGCGAGAATTGCGAGCTAACGGAACCTTGCGAAAATATTTGTATCCCTGTAATATCGCCAATCCCACTCCGCACGTGTTGTTTTTTGCGGAACCTTCCACCAATTCGTGAGGGGTTGACGATACCTAGTAATACAGAGTAACATTTCGCAAGCGTCGCTGTGGCCCCGATCAGTAGCGACCAATTGATCGTATGTGATCGAGGAAAATCGACTCTGATCGGGGTGAAAATCGGGTCTGATTGAGTTTGGGCGATCAGCTGATCGCGATCAGCTGATTGCCCTCGATTGCCAGAAAATGGCTTCTAGGGTTCCTGGAAATTATTGATCGCGGCTGATCGAGGCGATCAAACCTGATTGGGCCCACGCCCTAATAAACCAAAAAAAAAAAAAAAAAAAACGCAAACAAGGAAGGTAGGGTAAACCATGCCCGGTTTGAGAATGTAATTTCCAACAAAACAATCCAAACACTCTTTCCTGAAGAAGTATGAAAATATTGCGAAAGTGCATGTAAAAGGAAAGTACATCCCAGCTCCTAGTTTTCAAAAATCTCTCAAATTTAGTCCCAATTCTACTCAAAAGGTGCAGCTCATTTGAATTTTGCTCACGCGAGGCCCAGATTATGTTCAAAACTGGTCTTGCGTGGCAATTTTTTTTTACACGTGTTCATTTTTGGATTGTTAGATTTTTTATGGGGGCGAAAAACATAAAACCTCTAGGGAACCAGGACACATTCGCGGGAGGGATCAACCCTAAACACCTTGCGGGTCCCCGTGTTTAGGGTTGATCCCTCCCGAAAATATGTACTGGTTCCCCTAGGGGTTTTATGTTTTTTGCCCCGTCAAAAATTTTCTGGTTCCAAAATGGACACGTGTCGAAAAGTTTGCCCCGCAGGACCAGTTTTGAACAGAATCTGGGCCTTGCGTGGGCAAAATTCCACAAAGCTGTACTTTCTGAGCGAACTTGGGGCTAAATTTGAGAGATTTTTGAAAACAAGGAGCTGGGATGTACTTTCCCGCATGTAAAGGTCCATGTGATTGAAGGTTACATTGAACAGAGGAGCGCGGTGCGAGGGTATTCCAACAAGATTGAGAAATTTTTGAAACAGTCGCATCGCGCAATTATTTCTGAATCAACGTTACAAGTTTGGAGGCCATGTTTGGAGGCCAGGATGTTTTTGATTGGCTTAGCTTTGCGTGTTTCGCTCTTTGGGCCTTGGCTTGGCCCTTGCGTGTTTCGCGGGTTGCACTTGGTTTTTGATTTGGCTCAGCACACGTGGACGGTGCTCCTCCAGCAACCTTGTTTGAAACCACAGAGGATGGAGACTTGGGACTGTTGTCGTGACTTGGATAGTAACTGTTTTACACGGCGCTAGCTGCCAAGACAATTCAGCCCTGCACGGGGACGAGGGCAGCCGGAGCGAGATGAGCATCCATGCCCTTCGCCATAAGGGCGTCGTCAGGTTGTACGGGAATCTAGCAATTCAGGCTCCGTTACCATATTCTGCAAATGTAACCTTCTTTTGGGCAGGCTTCTGGACGCGATCAACTTTTGGGGGTGAAATGAGTCTTGAATGTGCAGTTCGCCAACACGTCCTGGGAACGAAATTACCCCGTACACAATAGCACCGAGCAGCACCCGTTCGCGACCAAAGCTCAGTCGGCCCCGGTTAGCGAGACTGGAGGCACTCTTTCGCAAGCGCCCTGCGAAAATCCCAACCTGCATGGCACATTTCGCGCTGAAAGTCGCCCGTCAGGCTGTAACACAGGTTCTGTTGGAGTAATATGTCATGTCGCTGAAACCGCGACACTGTTCTGGCGGGGTGGTGTTCCGCTTTCAATTTTGTGGTTCGGGATTCCACCAAACGAAGACACATAGTATGTGATTTCCCTGTGTCGGAAACCGTAAATGAACTACGCCCTAACTGCGTGTCCAGCGTGTTCTTTGCTTTTGACCATGTTTCGTTATGGTTAAACGGTAACTGAAAATCGCATTGAACCGTTTGATACCGTTTTTTGCCATGGTAGATGAACTGTAAACGAACTGTAAACGTACTCGCTGGACACGCCCTAAAACGGACTGTACAACCTGACGTCACCCTAATCACATCCATCATCCAATGAAAATATATCACACAACTTGCAGATCGGGAGAAAGAAAAGGTGTGGGTTGGAGGAGGTACAGTTGTTACCCCTACGCTTTTTGGTTTGACGTGAGAACATCCAGTGATTAAGGGACTATCAATAGACAACCGGAAGGTAGTCTCTAGAATGAAACTAGCACTTTGTGTTCGGATTAAAGGGCTTAGGAAGCTTGGTTTGGCTTCTATATTCTTGTTGCTCCCAACCAAATCGCGAAAGTTGTTCGGACCCTCTTCCGAATTCCTAAACGTAGGTGACTACCCTACGAAAACGTCTTTCCTAGGATATGTACCCTAGGATATTTATTAAGGGGTGTGAAATAATCGCGAACAGGATATTTTGCATGTCTATGACGTTGGCCCGGGATGCAAGCGTCACAGAGACTGTTGTCGTGACGTGGATATTAACCGTTTTACACGGCGCTAGCTGCCAAGACAAGTCATCCCTGCACGGGGATGAGGGCAGCTGGAGCGAGATGAGCATCCATGCCCTTCGCCATAATCACATCCAACATCCAATGAATATACACAAGGAAATGTGCAGATCCGTATTACTGTATCGAAACTGATTACTGTATCGAAACTCTGACTGTGCCTGGGATGCTAAGGCAAAGCACTGTAGTATCGAACTGGTGGGAGAGACTAGCCACTGTACAGTACGTGTACACATGATGCCCGACCAGTGCACGCGAATTTGCCATGCACCGGATGGACACGCTGCCCCCGAGGTCGAAACCCCTGCTTGCTGCACCCCATGTACAGGCACATGGATGGCTAACTACAGTGCACGCGGCCCGGCCTCCCCCCCACGTGCAGACCACAACAAGCAGTGCCGACCCATGTTTTCCTTGTTTCTAGGCCAGGAGTCAATCGGACGAAACGACTGGACGAAATGAAAGTGGTTTCGTAAATGCATTCGCCCACCTGCCCCGCCACCTAGGCGAGGATCAAGGTGCGTGTAACAGACATCTGGGCTGGTGCACGCTGCCACGTGTATTCCTCATTTGTGGGGTACAAGCCCATTAACAACCAGGCGTTGTTCGCCTACCCCACGTCAGATCATAACTCTGGTGGTAACTCAGACCACATATTCGAAATTGTAAGCAGGGTGCATGCAACGAACAACCACCACACGAATCAAACCCAGCCACACTGAACGGGCCCCAGCGCTGCTCAACCTCGTCCTCAAACCAAAGTTAAAAACTGATGCGCAAATTCACTCAAGCATCGTTCTCTCCCGCCACAGCCTCCCACCATGCCGCGGTTTAATCGCCGTGAGCAGCTCCCGCTGCACATCAAGCGCGCATTATGCGCGCATCACGTCGAGCACCCCCTCCTGCGTCACGTAGATCTCGCCCGCTGGGTTTACGCCCAGTATGGCCTGCGACCTGACCGCTCCACGGTCGGCCGCATCCTGAAGAATGCCGAGCGTTGGGCTCTGGTCGAACCCACTGCCGCCAATCAAGTGCGCTGTCGAGGTGGCGCATGGCCTGAGCTTGAGCAGGCCATGGCGCGCTGGATCGCTAACGCTGGCCCCGCGGGCGTACCACTCACTCTGCAGACGATCCGCGACCACGTGGCGACCATGGCGCGCAACATGGGCATTCCGCCCGTGTTCCGTTGCTCCATTGGCTGCGTTCACCGTGCGTTGCGGCGCCAGGGAGTGCGATGCCGTGCCGCCACCGGCGAGGCGGCGAGCGCCGACATGGCTGCTGTGCGTGAAGCGCGTGAGAAGGTGCCGCAACTTCTTACTCACCTCGGCTACAAGCCGCGCGACACCTTCAATCTTGACGAGACCGCGCTGTGGCTCTCTGTGCTGCCTCGGAAAACATACAGCAACGCGCGGCTTCCTGGACGCAAGGTCTCAAAGGACCGGCTTACCGTGGCGTTTCTCGTTAACGCCGACGGGAGCCATGTTTTCCGGCCGTTAGTCATCAGCAAGGCGCGCCGTCCGCATGACTTCCGGCCGGACTACGACCCCGAAGCCGTTTGCTACTGGCGGCACAACGCAAAGGGCTGGATGACCAGCCCGGTAAGTGTTTGCCGACCGTGTGCTTTTGCTCGTGTTTGTGTTCTTATGACATTGAGTTAACATTGTTGTGTAAGTGTTGTTATAACCATGTTATAACATTGTTTATTCCCACCGCCCTCTCCCACCCTCCCTCCCAATCCCCTCCAACAGTTGTTCACGCATTTCATATCGCAGCTCAATGCCGCGATGTATGCCGAAGGGCGGCACATCGCGGTGCTGCTCGACAATGCAAGCTCCCACATGCTGCGGGACGAGTGCGCGTGGAGCGAAATCGTCTGCGGCATGAGGACCACCTGCCTCAGCAACGTGCGCCT